GAAAAAAGGATAGGCTAGCATACAGCTTCCTCGGAGACACCATGAGTACCTAGGTCACTCTTGTTTACCACAGTGTATAAGACCTAAATGTTAGGGTGTTCAGAGGAGATCAAACCCGAAATAAGGCGATTCAAGGGAATGACTGCTTTCTGCTCATACCTTTAGAGAAGCAGTAAATAAACTTGGCTCCATAACAACAAAATTAAGTAAGTAGCAAAAGTAATAGTAACACAACCTAGGGTACTATTTCAGCGATTCTATGTGTACGCGCAGTTAAACTCGGAGTACTTCGGCTCCTCTCTTGCTTTATATGTGTGATTTCGGGGATAAATTCAGTTTTTAGTGATGGGTGAACACTTCTGTGGAAAACAACTGGACGTAGAGTAAATGATGCCGAACGTGAATTTATATGAAGTTCTGCATGCTGGAACATCTGATCGAGAACACGAACGATAGAAAGAACGGAAAGGTTCCCTGAAAAGTTTATCCCGAAAGAATAGAAGGTGTGTAGGACAGACTAAAACATAGTTTAGAGGTCTCAGATGTTGAATTCATAAATTACGGTCGCTCATCTTTTGCACTAAGAAATCCTGACCTCCATTAGAAATTATACAGCGCAACTCATGCAAAGATTGTCCAGATAAAACCTGCCTACTTCATATGTATAAGTACGAGTGTAGTCAAAGAAAAACTAGCATTTAACCGACCCACATACCAGATTACAACAAAACGAAAATCCAACCAGTCGTCTGCTTGTTAACAGAACAGATAAATCGGGTAAGCGGGGATCACCATCGCTACCCACAAAAAAGGGTTAACTGACAAGGAAACGTCAACAGGAAGCAACTATTAACCACTAAATTAAAACAGGCGCGGAAGGAAAGTCTGTAAAGCAGAAATTTTGCTCACAAGGAAGAAAATGACTACAAGTCATTAGAGTCTGTTTGGATAAGCGTGAGTACGCTTACAAAGGGAATACCACAGGATAAATGTTATTCATCTGACTTTTTATTAGCTAGATATGCTTCGTATCGCTTGGCCCGCAGCTCGTACTGCTTTTGCAGCTTTTTAAGCTGGCTCTTTGACACCTCTTTTCCTGAAGCATCGTGCGTCGGCATACCCTACAAGGAAAGAAAAAAACCATAAAGCACTGTAGCCGAAACATTAGTAAATAAGGCCAGAGAGTAAGAATGTTAGACAGACGTCTAGTACCTTGTCATCAAATGCAGAATATTTGTCGGTCTGGCTGCGGAACATCTCGGAAGGTGGCATGCGACCAGCTTCTTCCTTAGCTTGAGCTTGTTTAGCCTTCAAGGCTTCGCGTTCCGCCTCTTTCTGAAAATCCAGTGTGAAATAGATAATAAGATTTACCGAAAGTGCCAGACAACCATACGAAAGATTGAAAGACCTGTAAAGGACATTTTTCAGAGGTCTTCAATTCCTACAGAAATTATATTTTCAGGTCGTCGATTTAGAACACTTAAATTGATATTTCAGGGTCACCCTGTAACTCAAACTAATCCACCGCCTCCAAAAACCGCAGTAACTTTACTGAAGCAGCAGGCTCTTCGGCTGCACAAAATGGCGTGCTTATGATCGCATCTGTTAATTCTAATCCGATTTCCTAGTCATTGGTTGGGCTCTTATCATACCACCTGGCAAAAACA